TTTCTACCTCTCCCTCTCCCTTCTTCTCTCTCTGAAAATGAATTTAAAAACTTTTTTTAAAAAAGTTTCACCCTGGCCAGTTTTGCTCAGCGGTTAGAGCATCGACCCGTAGACCACAGAGTCATTGGTTTGATTCCGGTCAAGGGCACATACCTCGATTGCAGTTTGGTTGGGGTTGTGCAGGAGGCAGCCAGTCAATGTGTCTCTCACATCAGTGTTTCTCTTTCTCCTCCTCTCTCTTCCTCTCTCCCTCTCCCTCCTTTCCTCACTCCCACTCTATCTGAAGATAAATGAAAAAATATCCTTGGGTGAGGAGTTTTAATAATGCATAAAGGCTTACTTAAATATAAAAAGCAACAGTTTTAATACTTTTTGGAAATACTTTGTTTCTAAAGTATCTGGTATTTATGTTTCCTTTTGTATCATGCTCTCTTCACCCACCCACCCACCCCAGTTGTATTGTATGATAGAATTCCGAAGTCAAAGAGACCTTAAAGGCCTGAACCGTCTTCTAGAGTGGCACTTCTCAGTGTAGCTCCCTGACCAGCAGTAGCAGCATCACCCAGAATGTGTGAAATGCAGATTCTTGGGCTTGCTCCAGAGAGAGCCCTGGAACCTGTATTCTAGCAAGCCCTCCAGGTGATTTGGATACATGTGCAATTTAGAGAATCAGTGATTTCAAACATAAGAGTAAAAGAATGCAGGTTCTAGAATAGGATGAGGTTCATATCTCAACCGATTTACTCTCTGACCTTGTGCGCTCTCTGACCTTGTATGTGTTACTTACTCCTTGGCCTCTGCATTTCCATCTCTAAAAGGGGATTAGTCACAACCGCTCTGGGGCTGTTGTGAGAATTAATGTAAAATATATGGTAAGCACTTAGCATTGTGTGCTTCACACATATTAAGCAGTCAATAAATAGTTTATTATTGTTGTTATTAACTATCTTCCTAGACCAGGTACTAATCTTTTTATTAAACAGCATTCCAGACAGATGGCTATCAGTAAGGAGGTTGTTCAAAAGCTCTGGCCCATTCCAAGGAATAACAGCTGTAGCTATGCATAATTATTTTATTTTATTTTATTTATTTATTTATTTTTTTTTTTTTTTTTATCCTCACCCGAGGATATTTTTTCTTTTTTGTACAGATAGAGTGGGAGGGAGAGAGAGGAAGGGAGAGAGAGAGAAACATCGACGTGAAGGGACACATCGAGTGGCTGCCACCCGCACGACCAACCAGGGCCGGGGACAAACTGCAACCGAAGTACGTGCCCTTAGCGGGAACCGAACCCGGGTCTCTCCGGACCGCAGGCCGACGCTCTAACCGCTGAGCCAAACTGGCCAGGGCTGCATAATTATTTTATACATTGAGAGAATATTTGCCTTCCTGTAATTTCCATTGTTAATTGGAGCTCTGTTCTCTTGAGCCATTAGAACAAGACTATTCTACAGTTGTTAAGATATTTGAAGATAGTGACGTTGGCCATTCTGAACTTTCTCTTGTTCTGTTTCCAAAGATTAACTTAAACATAAAGCATAGTAGGTATTTGAAACCAGTCAGCTTTTTTTTTTTTTAAAGGAAGAAAAAAGACCTACCACTTTGCTTGGTAGTCGGTCTTTGGCAATTTCTGGTGTATAGAGATGTCTTGGAGTTTAAGGTCAAAGCTTTCCCATCTGGACTTGTGGGTGTGGAATAGACATTATGGTTGAGGGTTACCGTTGGTAAGGTTTCTGCTTTCTGCTGGCAGACATGAGCCAGTCACCCGTGGATTGTTTCTCTGTGGGTCTGTGGGTCCCGGGACACACACCCCTTAGAATCCAGCCTCTCTGCCTGCAGGGACCCGGCCCTTTCCTGCTCTGGTTTGGGCTCCTTGGCAAGCTGCCCATGCTGTCAGGCGTTCTACTTCTCACCTGTGCCCCACCTGTGTCCTCACCCATGTCACTAGCCCTCTAGTTCACTAATAGCCTTCGTGGCATTCGCAGTCTGCTCTACAGTTTTTGTTTTTATTTAATTGATGTCTAATTAGTAGTTGTGGAAAGTTGTACTGGCCAAGCAAATAATACCTTTCCTAAATTATGCCATGGTGTTATGTAGGGCAGCAGTGGAATTGCTATTTTAAAATGGGATTTCGTAAAATAAACATGCATCCACATTACAGGAAATACTAAGTTGATGATTAATTGATGCTATGGAGCTGGCCTTGCATTTTCAGATGCTTCCCTTTTTGTGATCATGGATCTAATGAGGTTTTGGCAGGCCCATACCTCTCATAATTTTCAGATGGCTAATTTGCACTTTGTTTTCTGCCCTGTGGTGCTGGGCAAGTGGCCATTAGGAGACAATGCAGAGGACTCCTCTGTCTGGGCTGAAGGTCAGGGTTCCCAGAGATGATGGAATGGCCCAAGGCTGTCAGGATCTGTAGTTGAGAGAGTGCCTCTTCACACTGGGGCTCAGAACCCTGGGCAGTGCTACATTGTCAGGGGCTTCAGAAGCTCCTGCTACATACACCATTGTCTTTTTTGTATTAGAGAGGGATGATAGGCAGGTCCAAGGGAAGAAGTACCTAGAAATTTGTTTTTTCAGCCCAGTGGTGAAGACTTGATTGAGCCTGCTGACACATTCTCATCCAGGGCTTGCTCAAATGCAGATGACTCCATGTGTAAGTGCATGATATGTGTCACCTGAGATGTGAAATAGGTAGGATGTTTAAATACATACGAGAACAGTTTAGAGAAGTCACTGAGAAAAGAAACCATTGTAAAATTACTAACTAGGTACACAAGGTCAATCCCCTGACCTCTGACCTTTGGGTTGACAGCAGTAGGGGATGTACCATCTCAAAAGTTACCCAGAATGCTGAGGGCCAGTAAACTTCACTCAAGTGTATTATTTCTGGGGAGAAAGACTGGACTGGACCTCAGCCTTGTGGATAAATGTCACGCAACTTCCAGAACAGTGTGGAGACAGAGGGTGGGAAAGGCCCTGGACTTAGACCACTCTACCTCTTACCCACTGTACAATTTGAGCCAAGGACTTTCTGAACCTCACTTTTCTCATTGTATTCTCTTCATCCAGTAGCTCCTGCCATCAGGAACTGAGGACTCAATGGCATCATCATTCTTTAGTAAATGAATGAGAGTGAATGAGTGCAGGAAAACACCTTAACTCCAAAAAGGAGGACACTGGGAAAGGTCACCACTGAGCCAGGGTCCATTCGGGTTTAGAAAGTGCCCGCGCTTCTCTCACTTAGTGCAGTGCTGGCAGCTCCTTTGTAAGCTATACACTGCACCATAGGGTGTCCTTGGGACAGATCCATTAACCCTTTTTTCTCTGGGGTGAAAGACCTGTGTGCAATTAACAGCTTTTAAGCCAGGGAATTGATGACTTTTGCTTCAGTGTTCTTCAGAGTTCACCTGCCACTAATCTGGGGCCCCAGGAACAGGCAGGCTGGCTGCTTTTATCTCGCCTGATGGGTGCCTCTCTAGAGGCGGCAATTACAGTGATAACTGAGAACTTGGCTCTCAGGAGCCTACTAATTGACTACAGGGCCTGGTCCTCTGTCCACTGCCTGCACTGCCTTCTGGTGTATGCAGTGTAGCTCCAGGGCACTTCCTTGGTGCCCGTCAGCCAGCCAGAGCCTCTTTAAACTAGTCCTCAGAAGGCACTGGGGTTGATTTGGCCATGAGATCCCGTCTTGGTTTTCACAGTGACTTAATTTTCCTTCAGACTGTGATCTCAGGAGGCATCAGTGAACTTTCCTCCCTGAGAAGGGGAGATGGAGTCAGTAGACAGTGCTCAGAATCTGCTCCTCTGCCAAGGGGTGGGGAGTGAAGGGCAGAGGCCCTTCTCACTTTTGATGCTTTATATTCTTCTGTGCTGTTTAATTGAATTAAAAAATATTTTTTTATTGGTTTGCAAGAGAGGGAGAGAGATAGAAGCATCGATGAGAGAGAACATCAATTGGCTGCCTCCTGCATGTCCCCACTGAGGATTTGGCCCACAACCTGGGCAGGTGCCCTGACTGGAAATCGGACCAGCGACCTCTTGGTGCATGGGTCGATGCTCAGCCACTGAGCCACACTGGCCAGGCTGTTTAATTGAATTTTAGTATTGGTTTTTCACTTTACCTAACATGGTACACCCAGTAAGTTCCAGAAGGATCATAGAGTTAAATGTTTTTTTGTGTGTTTTTTTTTAAAGGTATGAAAGAAGAAAAAAATAGAAATTATCTGACCTAAGAATAGGAAAATTCATTCTAGGCATAAAAGCAAAGGAAGACGTCATAAATTACAGGTCTTAAAAACCTTGAAAGTAGAAGACAGATAACAAAAAAGGGGGAAATGTAAATATTTATAACATTAACACAGGCAATTGCTTAATATTCTAAGACCTCTTTCAAATACAAAATGAGAAGAACCACTCTTATAGGAAAATGAACAAGAATGTGAGTAGGAAATACACAAAGTAAGAAATACACACCACCAAGAATCTGTTAAACTTAATAACTGTCCAAAGAAAACATAGTTGTGGGTATGTCTAATAGTGAAAACTTGGGAACACCTAAATGATTTCATAGTAGGACTACTTTTAAAGTTATGATACCTTTTGATGTTATTAAAATCATGTTGTGAAAAAAAAAAACAAGAATATTTAATGATTAGAGTAAGTTCACAACCTACTTTTGTAAGTGATAAGGGTGGATTAAAACAGTATCATCTCCATTTTTGTTTTAAAAAATTAAAATCCAAGAGTATATATTAAACTATGTACAAAGTTATCTTTGGCTGATATATTTCCATATTATTACCATTTTTACAAAATCAAGTGTTTTAAATGTTTAAGTGAAAAAATATGGGCAGTAGGTTGAAGCACTTAGGAAAGTGCATAACCCATTCCTCTCTCACAGAGGGTGCCTCATGGCCCTTCTCTCCTCAGGTCCGTCCCCCTCATTCTCTGCTCCCCACTGCCTGCTCCTAAGACACCTTGTTTCTCCTCAGGACTGAGCACAGAAGGCATCTACCGGGTCAGTGGGAACAAGTCAGAGATGGAGAGTCTGCAGAGGCAGTTTGATCAAGGTAAGGCCACAGCCTGCTGAGAATCGGAGGCTGGAGCCAGTCAGGCCGACCATGACAGCCGAACTGCACTGGGGTGCTCCTGCACACACAGCCCCAAGCAAGAGGTGCTGGGTTAGTGGCTGAGAAAGAAAGCATTTGGCCCCAGTTAGCACTGCCTCCACAGTTACACTGCCACAGAGGAGAGGGGAACAGGCCAGCCCTGTCCGCAAACGGAAACATCACCCCGCCAAGCCTGTGTCAGCCCATCACCTCCCACAGACACTGTTCCGGGTCACCCTGGCACATGCCTCATTCACCACTGAAGGGCCTTCCTTCCCTGGGACTAGGCTATGCAGGGTAATTACATGCACGTGATGTAAAAGTTGGCTTGAGAAGACAGTCCAGTTTTGTCAGGGCCTCGGGAGTGCCCTTCTCGCAAAGTCCCTGCACAAGAGAAAGACAAGAAGGGAACATGTTGTGCTTAGCTGAGCCTTGAGACCCAGGCTTCCAAAGCTGAACTCTCGTGAGTTAGACTCACTCTTGGCAGAGACTCCCATCTCCTAAGCTAGGTTAGCTGTGAGAGACCAAATCTGTTTCACCCCAGCCAGTAGCCAAACTCTGCCTCTTAGAACTGAGCACAATGTGGGACAAAAAGTCTCACACCCACCAATGCCAGAAGCAGATGAGCCAAAACGATCAAAGTTCTCAGATGTCACTGACCAGAGGGAAAGGTAAGCTAAAGGTCACAGTAGGGTTTGACAACGCATGGCTGAGCCTGAGGAGACCAAGCCAGGCTCAGAGACCAGGCAGACCATGGGGACCCACAGACAGAAGCCAGCCAGTGCACAGCTGGGAGCAGGCATCCTGCCCAGCACTGGGGCCATAGCACTCTGCAACACCACAGCCTGTCTCTGCTAGTGGGCAGTGGGAGGAGGCGACACACGAGAGAAGGGGAACACCTGTTCATCTTGCGGGATAGGAAGCGTGAGGTCAAAATGAGGGTATAGCCATGCACGGATATGCACTTGGACTGAATATAAAAGAATCTAATATAGCTTATACCCCCAAAATGGGAATAGCCAGTGACTATCAGTAGATGGTTTATTACAAATCAGAAATGCAGTCAAGTCTCAAAAGAAAAATTAAGAGACAGAGGTCAGTGGTATCATAAGCTGGGAGGGGCCAGAGGGGGAAAAAAACAAGTCTGTCTGTCTTACCAGCATAGGGGATGAGGATGGGGGCAGCAGTCAAGATTGTTTCAAGTTTTTTTTCTTTTTTTATTCGGGTGACATTGGTCAAGATTGTTGGTGAAGTTTTTGTAACCCACCATGAAAAGTGAGCTGGCCTTCTAGGAAAGCCCATTTCCTTTCTTCCCTGGGCGGGGATGGGTGTCAGGAAAAGGGAGCAACAACACATCCAAGCATACACAGGAAGCTAACTGGATGGCACAGAAGGAAGGGGTGTTCGGCTCCTCTACTCACAGGGTGACCTTGGAAGGAGGCGTTGGCTGTCAGCCTCTATCCATGAATCTGAGAACCTTTTTTTTAGCAGTACCAGGGATGTTTGATGCTTCTGTCCAGTCTGTGATAATCTTGAGGCCTTGCCTAGGTTCCAGGCCAGCCCTGGGAAGCATTCCAGGGTCCTCGAGGTCTCTCTGACTTCCCCCAAACACTGGGTTTTCCTTTTGCTTCTGCCTAGCTTAGATCGTCCTGGCCTCACTCGTCTAACTTCCTTTCAGACCACAACCTGGATTTGGCAGAGAAAGACTTTACAGTGAACACTGTGGCTGGTGCCATGAAGAGCTTTTTCTCAGAGCTGCCTGACCCCCTGGTCCCATACAACATGCAGATGGATCTGGTAGAGGCACACAGTGAGTACTGGCAACCCAGCCTGCTTGTGGGCCACTGGCAGCACCCCGGACTGACTGCGTTGGTCACATCGAGGGAGAGGGGAGGGGAGTACAGTTCCATAAGAACGGGCCACTGTGGCTCTTGGAGCTGAGATGTAAAGGAATAAAGTATGGGAACTAATAAGATGACACCAAAGGGACTTGCAAATGAAGCCCCTTTGTAGACCAGAGGTGCTTCTCTGAGGGTCCCCCCAAACTCCATGAGTTAAGAGCCTAGTTTGGGTGCCAAACTCAGGTACAAATCCCTGTTCCTTTGCTTGTGCATAGAGTGATGTTGTCTGACCCTTCCTTTCCTATGTTACTGTTCCTACTCCTGTTTATGAAGTGAGATCAGGAAAGGTATAGAGGTAGGGCTATAACACCCTGTTGAGAGGTAGGAATTACTTTCCTTTCCCCACCTCTCGTTCCCCTCTCCTCCCATCTCTCATACAAGGAAGTTAACATATGATCTGGGGCCAGGCAGCCAGCCTCTGGAGGGAAAGGGACAGAGCCAATGGCCTTGACCAGGTGATCACTTGGGGCTGCAGCAAGTTAGCACCTCTGATTTTAAGGTCTACCTTTGCATGCCATCCCACTTGCCCCCAGCAGCTATTCCTGCCCTGGCCTGCCTCTCTCGGGAGGCATTTGTCCATCCAGTTGGGAGCCTTCCCACTGGGCAGCCTTTCCTGGACTTGGTATAGTGCTGCAGAGGGGACCTGACCTCTTGGAGCTCCCCATGTGTTGCACGTTCCACCTTCTTTAGCGAGAGGCAGCCATCCTGGTTTGTACTTCTGGTGGACCAAAACCCCAAGAAGCAGCTATTGCTCTGAAGCAGAAGGGATTGTTTTTGCCAGTGACTGTGGAAGTGGGGAAGAGGAAAGGGAGCCATGTTCCTCAGACTCAGGACATTAGTCTCATCTTGTCACTGCCCAACTCAAAAGGGGAGTTTTAAGCAAACACAGTTTTCTCACCAGGTTGATGGTGTGGACAGAAATTTGAGAGAGGTCACAGATCAACAGGGCTTTAAGTTCTGGGTCATGGACTCTTAGTGGCTTCAGGGAATAGAAGTGCTGGCAGAAGCCTGTCCCTGAGCTATGGCAGTGCCCTTTCAGGACCTGGCCGCTGCCAGGGTGCAGGGCCCTGCAGTCACCTTTCCATGGTCTGCATTTCCCTGATGCTTGTTTCCATAACCTGGGTGCCGTCTTCACCACATTTTACCAACATAGTCCTGGCTGATTAAAATTGTTCATAGTTCCTAATCCTGTCCGAGCCCACCAGAGATGGGACAGAAGCACATCGCTCTGGGGCTGTCATAGGCTTGCCTGACCTTCTTCCCCATCTGCCTCCTCAGGACAGGGGTCAGGGTTTCTCCAGATGAGTTAGGGGGCGCAGACAGGTGCCAGCTTCTTTTCTAATCCTGCTGTCCTGATAGAAGTCCTCCCAGCAGCCCCTTCTCCAGCCGACTTCAGGCTGGCCCAGATGTGAAACGCATAGGAAATCTCCACTGGAGCCAGCTTTCTTTCTACCTGGGCTTGTCTCTGGGTGGAAGTTAGGAAGAGGAGGTATGGGCTCGTACCCAGCTTGCTGGGAACTGGGGGGATGGATTCCTGTCGGCATTTGTCTTGACTTGGTGCCATCTAGAGGCTTATAGAGTCCTAACACCCAACAGAATCCCATTGTTTCTTCGGGAATTGCTGACATAGCATCTTTTTGTTTTTGGAGGGGGTGGGGCAGGAGAGGGAGGTGTTATTGGTAGGGAATCAGCTGCCCTTCCTACAGCAGCTTCCGCAGCTTCCATTGCTGAGGAAGGGAGCTCCTTGCTGCCACTGCAGCCTGGAAAAGGGTGGAGATTGTCTGCTTCCTCTTCCTATTGTGTGTTTCCTGTGCCCCAAGCTAGTCAGCTGGGGCTCTGTGTCTTGAACCTAAGGGGAGGAGTGTGCCTCACTGGCCTGGCACCTCTTACAGCCAAAGCAAGCTGAGTGAAGAGTGGGGCTGTGTAACTGAGCCAGAGACAGCAACGAGGCAGTGCCAGTGTTAGTGATCAGGGACATGGAACAAAGATTCTCAAGCCCAAAAGTAGCTCTTCCCAGCCTGGCTGGGTTTCCATGGCAACATCAACTTGACCAGCTCTTCCACTTAATACCTAAAAGCTGTTGTGTCTGTGTGTTCAGGGCTTGGAGATGGTTTCAGATCCCATCACAACAAATATCAAGGTCACTATCAGATTGTTTTGTTAACTCCATAATTTCACAATATTGAAAATGTGCCCACAAAATAGAGATTTTTGTGATTATTCACTAGTTATCTTTCTACCATGTTCAAGGTGATGTGTGGGAGATTCAGAAGTGAATAACAGCATACTGCTAGGGAGTGGCAAGCTGGGGCTTGACCTTCGGTGCTGTCCCTGCCCTCCCCGAGTGCACCTGTAAGCGACCTGCCAGACAGAATGAAGCAAGCTGAACTAGAAATGCAGAACAGGCCGTGAGGAGGAGGGAAAGTAGAGGGCTTCATGGAAGAGGTGGCATGTGGCAGAGAAAAGAGCTTTGATTTCCCCATTCTATCTCATCCTCACACCTCCCCTCAGCCTTCGAAAAGTATCATCAGTTATTCTTGCGCCACATCTCCTTTTCCTCCCACAATGCCCATGACCCCACCACTACTTATCTAGAATCCCTCTGGTCCAGCAGTGCCCCACAGGTACTGTCATATGTCTTTTGTGTCAGAAGGGGCCCTGCAACTGGCTCTGTCTCAGTGCAGAGGTTCTGAGTCTAAGGACCTTTGACTCCAGGGCCTTATTAGCCCCTATAACTGCCTGTAAGTTCCATGTGCACATTTTAGTCTACAGAGAAGACCAATAGCTTTCATCGGATTGTCAAAGGGGTATATGACCCAAAGTGGTTCAAGATGCCAGCTCACCGTCTCACTATCCCATGTATAAATGAGAGACCACTTAGGACCACAGATACTAAATGACAGACTTGCACAGTCACCAGGCAGACTAGCCTTGCTGCCCACTGAGCTCTTGTTCACATGCTGCCTTGTGACGTTGCTCATCCTAGGATCCTGCTTTCTCTTATCTGTCCAGATAGCTGCTTAAGGGCATGTAGGTGTTCCTCACCTCCTAGCACATGCCATTTCCTGCTTTAGTCCTGGTGGGCTAGGACATATTGAGCAGGTTACTGCAAGGTTACACCTCCAGGAAAAAGACACCTGGAATCTTCCACCTGAGGGAGAGATGGGGATTGCGCAGCAGCTGCTTGCGTGTCTCGCTGAGGGTTGTGGCCCTGAGCTGGGTGTTGTCCTCTTCTGGTGCAGGTGTGCCATGTGGTCAAAGGTCATCAGGGGCCCTGGCCAGTTTGGCTCAGTGATTAGATCATCGGCCCTCGGACCAAAGAGTCTAGGATTTGATTCCGGTCAAGGGCACGTACCTCAGTTGTGGTTCAGTCTTTGTCCCTGATCAGGGTCATGTGGGAGGCAATTAATCAATGTCTTTCTCCCTCTCTCTCTCTCTTTCTCCCACTCTATCTGAAGATAAAGGCGGGGGGTATCCTCGGGTGAGAATTTTTTTTTAATGTAATAGAATAAGTTGTATTGATTGATTTGAGAGAGAGATTTGTTTTTTTAAAAAATCAATGGAAAAATATCCTCAGGTGAGGGGTTTTTTTCCTCACCCGAGGACATTTTTGCATTTATCTTCAAATAGAGCAGGAAGGAGAGAGAGAGGAAGAAAGAAACATCGATGTGTCTCTCTCATGTCAATGTTTCTCTCTCTCTTCCTCCCTCTCTCCCTTTTGCTCTATCTGAAGATAAATACAAAAAAATGTCCTCAGGTGAGGATTAAAAGAAAAAATTTAAAAAAATAAAAAGGTCATCGGGGATTTTCTTCTAGGCACTGAGTTAGGCAGCAGCAGATCCAGGCCTAGAGCCGTGTTGGCAGCCTGAGTGCCAGAGATGGCAGCAGTGGCACCACCAGAGCAAGAGTGATGTTTGAGAGCAGGGTCCCTGGCACCAATCTATATGGACTTGGACCAGTATTTTTACTTCTTTGAGCCTTGGTTTACCTGTATACCAGGAGGGATATAATGAGCTAGTCTCTAGGGACCCCGGTGGCCTCTGGCTGTCCCCTCCTCTTCTTCCTGAGTTCTGTGGTCTCAGTTGTTCTATGTTGCCTGTGTCCAGACTTTGTCTTGGTTCAACTGGCCTGAGAATGCCTCTCCTGAAGTGTCTTGCAGTCTTAGTGAACTGGCACCTAATTTCAAAAGTGTGCTGTGTTAGCTTCCGGAGCCCGAGCCCTATAACTACCACCACCACCCCTAAGAGGATTATTGAAGTTGGAGAGGGTACTGCAGCATGGTGGAAGGCAGGTGATCCAGAGCAGGTGTGCTGACCACCTGGGGTCCATCCCACCTCCCCCTCACCAGTTTTGTGCCCTCCTTGGCATTGCCTCTGTAGCAGGTTTTCTTAATCAGCCTATGGGGTAAACCCAGCCCCACCTCCAGAAGGGTGGTGGCGAGGGCTGTGCAAAAAGGGACTGTGAAACCTCTCCGCCAGCACTTCAGCACACCCAGAGGTAAGAGTCACTGGTGTTGGGACTACCATGGAAAGGGGCATTGGGAGGCTTCCTGTTCTCTCCTTGATGGCCTCCCTCCTCCCTCACACACTGGATGCTCCTCAGCACTTGTGGGCCCCTGAGCCATGCACAGTGGGAGAAGGGAGCTAAGGAGGCAGCATCAAGTCCTTGTCAGGCTCCTCACTATGTCAGGAAGGAGGCTGGCATTCCTGGGGATGGTCCATGAATACTATAAAAGCAGGCTTGGTAAACCCCACCCTGTCCCCTCCTTCCCTCCCAAAGAAGAGAGAGAGGAAGCAACCTTCCTTGTGACTCAGCGGATAGGAAGGAAGGGGGCATCCCGGGCAGACGGTGGCTTTGCCAGCCCCATTTCCTGCCTCCAGCCAGGAGGGCGGGTGAGGTTGGCTCTTAGGTGAAGGCGCTGCCCTTTGGGTGCCTAATTAAACAAACAGCTGTGTTTGTGTCATGGTACCCAGGAAAGACCTGGGCGAGCTCGTGTCTCCAAGGGACCTGGTGATTTATTATGTGAGACTGAGCTGTGCACATGCTTTTCGTTCTTTCGCACCCCGCTCCTCCTCCTCAGGCTGCTTCCTTGCTTTAAGTACACTTTTTTTTTTTTTAACTTAACAGGAAAGGGTTTGAAATTCGAGGCCAGAGAGAAAGTGTGCCCTTGAGGTTGAACCCTTAAAATAAATCTTGGGTTCAGAGAATGAAGCTGGTAATGGCCCCACATAATTCATTTCTGTGGGTTTTTTTTTTTAAGTCATTTTTTAACAGACAAATGTTACCAAAATACATGTTTTTATCATCATTCTCAAGTCAAAAAAATGTGCCCAGTTTCATGCTCATTGGCCTGCGAAAGCTCTCCATAGCTTGTTCCTGCCCGTCTCTGCAGCCTCCCCTTCACTGGTTTTCTGAAGGTCAGACTAGCCTTTGATGCTTATTTCCTGAGCGCTTCACAGGGTTTCTTCATCCAGTAAAGGAAGCACTGTCATCAGCCCCTTTTACAGACAGGGAGACCAACACTCAGATGTGTCACTTCCCCAAGGTCAACAGCTGCTTGGTGTCAGAGACAGGATACCTGCCCAGGACCAGATGGGTCAGGACTCCCTGGCAAGCCCTCTCTGTACCTCCTTGCCCTCCCAGCCACTGTCTGTTCCATCTGTTCATCCAAGTTGAGCTCAAGCCAGGCTTCTCAAGCACTTCCCCAGACTATGACCCTCCGGGCACGTCACCTACTGCAGAGGTTCTTAACTTGGAAGCCACAGGCTTGGGTTTGGGGAGTCCATGAACCAACAGGTTTAGGCAGACTTGTACATGGCTTCTTTGTGGGGAGAGGGTCCAGTGCTTTCCTGCATCTCAAAGGAGCCTGTACCTCCACACCAAATAGGTAGGAACCATTCCATTTCTTGTGGGTTTTCTTTTTTAATAATTTTTTTCTTTATTGCTTTGAGAGAGGGAGACAGAAAGAAACATCAGTGAGAGAGAACATTGGCCGCTTCCTGCAAGCCCCCCACTGGGGATCGGGCCCACAACCTGGGCATAAGCCCTGGCTGGGAATTGAACTGGTGACCTCTTGGAGCATGGGTCAGCAGCGTTCAGCCACTGAGCCACATCGGCCAGGCAGAACCATCATATTTCTTAATGGACCCCCATCCACCCACCCCCACAACCCTCAGTTATGAGATAACTGCCATTCTTCATGGAACAACCCTGCTGTGGGATCTTAGAGATAGCCTTCAGTTTCAAGAAGTAGCCATCGGGCCCTGGCCAGTTTGGCTCAGCAGTTAGAATGTCGGCCCACGGACCGGAGAGGCCCAGGTTCAGTTCCCGCTAAGGGCACGTACCTCATTGCAGTTTGTCCCCGGCCCCAGTTGGGATCATGTGGGTGGCAACCACTCGATGTGGCTCTCTCACATCAGTTTCTCTCGCGCTCTCTTCCTTTTTCTCTCCCTCCTGCTCTATCTGAAAATAAAAATGCAACAATGTCCTCAGGTAAGGATAAAAAAAAAAAAGCCATCGGGATATCTTCCCACACTCAGAAACCTGTCTTGGCCACCTGACTCCAGATGGGCTCTGGAACCTTTTTGCTTCACTGGCCCTGGCCAGCTCTCCCAGCCGAGATGGCCCAGACCCACTCAGGGAAGGGCAGCCAGGACCCCATGGAGCACAGTGGTCCCCACTCACGTTCTGCAATCTGTCTGGGTCTCAGATTCCTCCCCCTTGAAATGGGGGGATAACAGGCCTGGTGTGGATGAAGTATTTCATTCGAGGGAGATTGTTTTTACTCTCCTAGTACATTATGATTTCATGATGAGCAAAGTGTGGGTGGCAGAGGGAAGGGGGCATTGTAGACCCTGTGATGGACTGCATGAGAATCCCCTACTGTTTCCATCAGCTCTTCCAATAGGGAGATGTGTGGAGGGTCCCTGTGGCTCTGGGAAAAGGACAGAGCCCTGGTTTTGTTGCAAACTCCCTCCCTAGACAGTCTGTTGGCGTGGGTGGGTGGCAGCACTCACCCGTCTGGTCAGGAAGCAAGCAGGCTTTCTGCGTTGAGATGCTGTCTCCAGGGGCAACCGGATGAGCAAAGAATGGTGTTCTTTATGGTGGAGTCTCTTTAGATTGTTGAGTCTCGGGTGGTGGGGGCCAGGAAGCTCCAGGCGCACAGTGCTCCCCTTCAGAGGGGCCCTGGGACCCAGAGGTAGGTCTGGCCCCTGGGCCTGTGCAACTGCCAGGTGTGCTGCCTTGGGTACAGGCTCTGGGGGAAAGAATGGGATTGACCTTCCTGAAACCCCTGGGCTTCCCTCAGAGAAGGTCCAACACAGCACACCCTTAGGTGGCCATCAGCCCACTGGTTTTGTGAACTGCCCAGGACTAGGGTCTGCTTTGAGCCCCAGAACACCCTCAGCCTTGGCCATGAAAGTCTTGATTTTCTCTTTCCTCAGAAATCAACGACAGGGAACAGAAGCTGCATGCCCTCAAGGAGGTTCTCAAGAAATTTCCAAAAGAAAACCACGAAGTCTTCAAATACGTCATCTCTCACCTGAACAAGTATGTTGCAAGGGCTTGCTGTTGGGTCTTTCTCCGCCAGGGTTCACCAGTCAGGGCTAGTTAGCAGCAAAATGAGGCTGAGCAAGGCTCTGTCCTCAGCCTGGTGACGGGCTGCCCAGCCTGCAGGGGCGCTGGCCGCCTCCTCGGTGAGGTACATCTGGCTCAGGCCCACCCGGTTCTGTCTGAGAGGCCCACATGGCCTGAAGCATGCGGAAGTCCTCTCTCCAGTGTTTTTACTACCTTGGTGTGTGTCAGAACCTCGCCAAGATAGGTGCGCCTTCAGAAAGAGCCCCCCAGTCAGGTGCGCAGGGGCTGTGGTCAGGACGCCTGTTAGCGGCATGTGTCCCAGATTTCGTCACACAGAACATGTCTGTTTTCCAGACAAGCCTATTTTGCATCTCAGCACAGTGGTGTTTTGTGTGAAGCTCTGGCTTGGGACACACACACTCCCTATCTCTGCACAGCCAGAGCGTTGTCACCCACTTTGGTGGTCTGAGAAAGTCCCTGAGCAGTCCATTCTCCCTCAAGGCTGTGCAGGGCCTCTCATGAGCCAGGGCCTCAGCCACTCCTCGAGCACCTGCCACATGGGGACACTGCAGCAGAGGGCGGAGCACAGAGAGCTGTGCTTGCGGCTTTTCTGTTCTCATGCTGTGGGCGGGCAGGCAGTGAGGGCCGCTAGGGTGACAGTGATCATGAGCACACACGGACAGGGCAGGGCATAGAGCCCCAACTAAGGCTCCCTGTCCCTCGGAGCTCTGACTCTGAGTTTGGTGTCGCCCACAGAGTCAGCCACAACAACAAGGTGAACCTCATGACCAGTGAGAACCTCTCCATCTGCTTCTGGCCCACCTTGATGAGGCCCGACTTCAGCACCATGGACGCGCTCACAGCCACGCGGACCTATCAGACAATCATCGAGCTCTTCATCCAGCAGTGCCCTTTCTTCTTCTACAATCGGCCCATCAGTGAGCCTTCGGGCGCCACGCCCAGCTCTCCCTCTGCTGTGGCTTCCACCGTGCCCTTCCTCACCTCCACACCCATCACCAGTCAGCCGTCACCCCCCCAGTCACCTCCACCCACCCCTCAGTCCCCAATGCAGCCACTGCTACCCTCCCAGCTTCAAGCTGAGCACACGCTGTGAGTCACCAAGGCCTGGGCCAAAAGGAGGCTATCTTCTCTCTTCGGTGGGGTGGCATTTGGCCTTGAACACAACCAGGTCCTCTGGGCAGGGGTGGGGAGGGTGTTCCCTCTCCCCTCTCACCTTCTCAAGACCTCAGCGGTAGCACCAGCCAACAGTCCACCATAGGCTGAGCTGTCAGGTGTCCTGAACCCAGCACTCAGACCTGGGGCTGGCTATAGGAAGTGGCCCAGGGGCCCTGCCCTTTGACATGGACCCCTTTGAGGACTGCACTGGTCAGGCAGCAGCCCCAGTGGCCCTCCACACACTCATTGCCCCACCCCCCACCCCCAGCCTGTGCGCACTGGCCTCGGGGCACCACCCACTGTTTGGACAGCGCCCTGGCCTTTGCCAGCGGAAGAAGGTGGTTCCGAGATGCAGACTGCCCCGGGGCAGAGCTAGCAATTCCCAAGGAGAATACTTCCCGTCTGTCTCTTTCCATCTTCCATATCTGCACCCCCACCCACAGTTGAGGGTGCAGCCTGTCTAGCAAGAGCCTCCTTGGGAACGTGTAGGCCAGGGCTCTGCCACCCCAAGGTACAGTGCTGAGGGCGTCTGCCCAGCCGATCAGGACAGAGGGAGGTATCTTTGTGCCTGGACCAAGAGAGTGCAGCTTTCCCCTTCAGCCCTCACCCCCTCCCCTTCACAGGCTTTGGGATACATTCCCTTTGCAGCAAAGGAACACTGGAAGAAAAGTGGAAAGCATCCATCCAGTAATTTTTAAAAAGCAAAAGGAAGAAACTACCAGAAGAAAACTGCAGACCTCAAGATTCAGTTCTCCTCCCACGACTTGGGAAGACAGACAGGTGGAAGGTGGCCCTTCTCTTGTGACAGCAAAACAAGGAGGCCCAGGGCTGGTTGCCTGAGCCTTTTGGGGTCCCACTTATGTTCTGTCACCAGATTCCCCTTTCCCCAAAAGATGGTTTGAGCCCTTGGTGGGCACTAGAGCTGGGGAGACCAGCAGACCAGCCTGGAACTTGGTCTGCCTTTGAACACACTACTATGGAAATACTACTTGTGTGTGTGTGTGTGTGTGTGCACGCGCGCGCCTATGTGTGGGTGTGCCCCAGCAGACAAGCCTGGAACTTGGTCTGCCTTTGAACACACTACAGTACTATGGAAACACTACTTCGTGTGTGTGTGTGTGCGCGCGCACACATGTGTGCACACGTGTATCGGGGGGTGTGGTACGCCTGTGAGGGAGGGGACATCTGGGAGTGCCAGGGTGCACTTGGGGTTTGGTTTAGTGTGTGGTGTTGAAGTGGAATAATTTTCGTCCTGGGCCATAGAATGCCCCCAGCAGCGCTGTTTGTGGGAAGTGGGCGGGTCTGGTGATCTGCTGCCCACACAGGCATCCTTCATGCCCCCAGAGCCAGCAGGCCTGCAGAGCCACAGGCACAAAAGCCATCAGTCATGAGAGCACTGTGCCTGCTTGCCACACTACCCCTTCCCATGGCCTACCCCTCAGCTTCCTGGCCACTGGACCCTGGGAGAACCCTCTTCATACTCCATCTCTGCCCCACAACACAGCAGCCCATCGAGGCTGCTGCAGGGATGGCTGCCCCCACTCCTGGTGGCAGAGTCGTGACCTCTGCAATGGGAAGCCTGACACTGAGGTACCCAGGGTGTGTGGCAGAGGGCCCTGCATGCCACCCACTCCTCCGGGTCTCTTTGCACTTTAAGCAGCACCTGTGGTATATTCGAGGATGCCCTGGGTCACCTCAGCTGGGTGGCCTGGCAGAGGGGTGCCTCAGAACAATCTCCAGCCACCCCCAGCCCTCACTGCTTCCTGTTGGCTGTGGAGGGCAGGGCAGGCCGTTGGCTCACCGCCTTCTTCTGGAGAAGCTGGATACTGACTGGTTTTCTTGTACGTTAAACTAAGGTGCTTGGAGAAACTAAATGACCCCTGCGAGTTTTACTCCCCCTGAGGACACAAGTCAAAAAACAAACCCAAGGTACATGACTGTTTTATGTAAATGTTGGATACAGATGTTTCCTCTTCTGGTGGAGGATGCTGTGCCAGGGTGGGCTGAAAGGCGATGTTTGTGTTTAGTTTTGACCTAGGTTGGCAGACCCCCAGGCAGGTGTGGGAATAGCTCCATGGAATTGATTTCTCCCTTTTCTAGGCCATGCTCACCTGTTCCCAGTCAGCCTTTCAAGGTATTGAATGCAGTTGAAGGGAAACCATGAACCTCTTGTGTGAACTAACAAAATTAGTTTGGTTCCCTCCCATTGCCCAGTCTACACTGCCACCTCCTCTGTGCCGACACACACACACCCCACTGTGCCACCTGCAACCTTGACTGCACAGGAACTCGCAGGCCCCCAACACTCCTGCCTTCCTGTGCCACCCCCATCCCCTCCAGGCGTGTACATGGCAGGGGTGCTGGGGTACATTGGGAGGGAAGGGGTTGGGAGGAGGAGCAACTGCTTCATGCTTCATCCCTGCGGAGGTGGCCTCTGGCCCTGTAGCGCCCCCTAGCAGCCAGCTAAGCAGCTGCAGGGTTCCTTCATATTTGCCTCTGTCCAGCCAGGGCTTTGAAGGTATGCAGGCAGCGGCTGGTGTCTCGCCATCAGAGCCACAGTGGGAAGGAAGCTCCAGGGGTTTCCCTTGTTTCTGTTTGCTCTGCTAACCCTTTAGCTTCTCTTCTCTGCTTCTGCAGGCTGACTTGAGCTAGAAGACATTTCTTGGTTGTGACTTGGCACTGCCACTAAGCAGCAGGACTGATCCCCGGGCTTCAGCTTCCAGTCGGAGGTCTGCATTTGGAGCAAATGGGCACTTGGGTGGGACCCATGAGGGAGAGCCAGGGCGAGTGTTGGGACACTGCCTTAAGTGAATTGCAAGCCCCAGCTCTCAGAACTGAGGCCGCAGCAGGCAGCAATTAGCCTTGGCCAAAAGGGGTCAGCCAGGGTATGGAACTTGCTCCACGTGCCCAGCAGAGTAGTGCATGCCCAGCAGCGTTCTCCCCAGCCAGTGCTCTTTTGAAGGCCACAAGAGTGTAGACACCATTCAGGGAATGGATAGACACTGGTTGTGAGTGGAAGGCCTGTTGGTCTGTGGCAGTGGTGCTGCCGGAGGGAGGGAGGTGGTCCACAGTTAGGCGCATGGTTGTGGGTCTACCCTGAATTCTTAACTCTTGCTTGTCAGGTGTCAGCACTCTGTCAAGTCAGCCTGCCAGTCACGACATTTTGAGGAGATGCTGAGAAGTGCTCAGTACTGTTTCCATGTGCTCTGCACCCCACTGCCACCATTCTTCCTGCTTGAAACAGGGAGCGCGCTTCTGGGAGAGTCTTCTAGCAGAATATGTGCCTGTGCCAGGGTGGACAGCGGGTGACATCATAGGAACAGCATGCTGGCCAGAGGGCCCAGGAGAGCATGCCTTTCCCTGTCCCTGTGCTTCAGCTGGGGGCCGGGGGGCTGGAGGGAGACCTTCCCCTAGGCCACGGGTGTTCAGCCTCAGCCCTGAAACTTGAATACAAGCCGCAGCATTTGTAATCTAAAATCACCCCCATCTACGCCCCACCCATCCTCGCCTGTGGGAGACTACTTTTGGTGTGGGGGTCTCCTAGAGAGAGCAGTGGACAGTGGCCAAGGAAATGTCAGCGCCACAATCCTCTAATGCAATGGGTATGATGTGCCATGGGGCACGGGAATGGGCCCAGAGAGCAAAGCCTTTGCCTCGTCTCCTGGGGCTCAGCGTTCTGGGGACAGCCACGACACTGCACAGACCATTGCCCTGTTGCTTGGCAGGTTCAAGCCACTTATTGTCCCTTAGGTGAAAGGACAGACTGAGTCATGTATGCGGAACCTAAGTCACAACTGGGACTGTGCCAGGGATGGCACCAGGGAGGGGCTGGTGTGAGGGGAAAGGCCATTCTCATCTCCCAAGGCCCTGAGCCACCCCCAGGCTGTGCCTGAGTCGCTGTCTTAGATTCTTCCCTCTGGAAGCCACCTTTCAGCTGGCCGCCTGCCTGCGGACTCCTCGAGGTCAGAGGTCACCCCACCCCCCCACCCCGGCTCCCTCCAGCAGTCCTCTGGCACTCAGCAGTGATGTTACACTTTCAATGTAGTCGAGACAGGGCGTAAGTTATTGTTTGCATAAAAAATCATGTTCGCTGTGTACATTTTAAAAAAGGAAATGTCTCTGAATTGTATGGGAATAAAACTTGTTTGAAAATTTGGAATAGTGCTGCTGCCAGCTTATTTTTCTGGTACTTGTATTTTCAAATGTTAAATGAACTTTATATATGTTGAATTAACAAATATTTTGAGTTTTCCTGATACAAACAAAAACATTAATGGTATTGAAATGTGTTAGTAGTCTGGCCGTGTGCCCAAAATTCTGTTTCGCAGCAAAGTGGAGAACTGTATGTAAAGAAAGTATAACAGTTATTTCTTTGTATTTTAGGGGCTTTAACCAAGACATCTAGTTGGTGTTAGGAATGTTGCTTAATTTCCAAACTTTTTTTTAACACGTGGGTGTTTTGAGGCTCCAACCTGACTAGTGCATGGTCAGCCGTCGCTAAGGCTGAGGCATCTCTCTGACCGAGGTGTTTTTGTTTGGTTTTGTTTTTTAAAATCATGTATTTGCTACAAAGTATTGTACTTGTCTCAATGGGAATGGTGTAAAAAACTGAAAAGGCCTTATGTGATATGTATCATAGTTAATAAATCAGTCTTGTAAAAAACCAAACCTGAGAGACATGAGGTGGCCCCTCCTGTCTGGGCCCTGAGCACACCCCAGCGGCGGGCTGGCAGGCTGGGCTCCTGCCCCACAGGCCCCGGGGACAATGGCTCCATCCTCAGAAGAAGTGTTCAAGGACTGTTAAGCAGGAGGAGACAGGTCTGTGGCCACAGGGGGGGAGAGGGAATTCTCCAGCAGAGCCAGCCATGGGAAGCTTCTGGACCATCCCACCTCCATCGGGGGGCTGCCCTAGCATTTGCTTGCTCTCCTCTCTAGCAGAGTGGCCCGCTGTCCCCAAATCTACCTGTTATTCTTGTAGTTTATTGCAAGTGAATATCCAAAACCCCACCCACGGCTGCAAGGAAGGAGAGTTAGTTAGCCTCTGTTACCACCCTCTGTTAGGACTGGGCTTCCAGGGATGGAAGTTGGCTGCCTCCCAAAGAAGCCTCAATTTGCTCTGTCCCCACTCCTTCCTCGCCCCTTCTTCCTTCTAGGCTCCTAGGTCTGTCTGTCTAGGTCCACCTGCAGCCACAGCCTTCCTGTTCCTACAGCCTCCATCTGGCACAGGCCCTAGTCCAAGCTCACCTGGACTCTGATGGACACCCCCACACCCTAAATGGCCTCCTTGTCCTCACTCTTGTCCTTTTCCATTGGAGAATGCAGTGGTCTCAACCTCGGCTTGAGTCGTTTACAAGCTGGCCTCACCCATGTGATTCTAGCAGACCTCCACTCCAAGCACCACCTGCTGACTCCAGTGTGATACCCACAGCCTCACTCCTGACCCCCTTCTCCACACCTGTCCATCCCCCACAAGCCAGACAACCTGGAGGCCTCCACCACTTCCTCCTCATGCCCTGCCGCCATCCTGAGTGACTCACCTGACAGCGGCCTCCCAGGCCTCCCAGCCTCCAGTCTCACCCCCTCCCTTTCATCTCCGACTGGCAGCCAGAGGGAGCTTTTCTAAACCCCTCCCTTACCACCTTCCAGGGATCCCTGGAGCACTTCGAGGAAAGCTCAAACTCTTCGTGGGTCCGAGAGGACCCCTGCCGACCTCCCAGGGGGCCATACCTGGCACCCTGCTTTCTAGCCTCTGGCTCCCCAAGGGCCCATCCACCTCAGGCCTTTTGCACATGCGGTCCCTGTCCATCCCTCCTTGCTAACTTCCTTAACCCTTACATTTCAGCTCCGTGGACTCTTCCTCAGGGAGGCCCTGCCTGAGCCCAGACCAAGGTGGGCTCCTCGGCTCTCTTCGAGAGCATTTTCTCAGTCTGTTTCTCCTTCAGGTTGTATTAGCCCACTTAACACATATGTCCTGAACATTTCTCTGGGCCAGGCCCCTGGGGACACAACCAGGAGCTGACAGTGGAAAAGACAGTAAACAGGCAAAGAAAGGAACGTGGCCAGGATGTTGGGGGCAGATAAGTAGTTAGGGAGGATGTGGCCCTGAGGATCAGGGCTGCTATCTGGGCTGGTCCGGAAGACCTCAGGAGGAAACACTGCAGCCGAGTAGGGACCAGGGTGAGGTGAGGCACTTGCCTCCGTCACAAAACTTAGGGGACACAAAACAACTCAAGATCAAGATAGATATTCCAATGCAATGTTTTTGAAAATCAAGGTTAAAAAAAACATGGATTTTTAATATAAAACACCGAGTCAGCAACAGTGATGAGCCAAACTGAAGTCTGAGGCAAAAGGAGAAATCGGTAAGACTGAGCCTGGAATCGGAAGGGAAGTGATGGTGGATGAGACCAGAGCTGGGACCAATGAAAGTGGACAGAGGAGGTTAGGAGTTTGGATATCATAAAGGTTTAGGCAACAGCATTTGCTCAAGATTGCACATGCAAGAGAGGAGGTGGGGTGATGCCAGGGTGTGCACAGCAGTGTCTCTGTTTATCATCTGTCTCCCCTACTCCCTGTGAAACCCACAAGGGTTGGAGGTGTGTTCCCCAAGCTACAGCCACGTACTTAACTCCCCAGGTGCCCAGGAGCACCAGGCCAACTGCCCAAGAGCAAACAATGCGGTGTTACTCTCTACAGCCACCAGGGGTCAGCAGAGCGCCGCCCTGCCCTGCCCTGCCCTGCCCTGCCCTGCCCTGCCCCACCCCGCCTTGCCCCACCCCGCCTTGCCCAGTCCTGGGGAAGCCCTGGACGAGCTCTAGGCCAGGCCATGGGATTTTAAGGGAGGGAGACTGCGGAGGAGGCAGGTTCTGAGAAATTAGGTTGGAAGAGCCCCAGAAGTGGGCTGAGAAGCAAGGAGATGAGCTTCTCTTCCTGTCATGTCACCCATCCATCCATCCATCCAACCATCCACCATTTATTCAGTCACAGAAGATCAGGAACCTGGCCACACAACGCTTTATACAGCCAGGCAATAAACTTGAAGTTTGTCCTGAGGCAGTGGGAGCCACGCGTGTGGTTTGAGCAGGAGAGAGACTCGGTCAGATTGGCAGGAACTGAGAGGAAGAAGAAAGGATTCAAGAGATACAGGCTCCCAGAAATTCTTCCTCCCAGATGGGAACTGAAGAGTAGTTGACATAAATATTAGCCAAGTAATATTAATAAAAGCTAACAGTTCTTGGGTACTTACAAGGTATTAGGCTCTGTTTTATTTTTTTATTTTTTATAAACTTTTATTTTTTTATTTTATTTTTTTCCTTACCCGAGGACATTTTTCCATTTTTTGTTCAGATAGAGTGGGAGGGAGAGAGAGGAAGAGACAGAGACAGAGAAACATCAACGTGAAAGGGACACAAGTGGCTGCCACCCACAAGACCAACCAGGATCGGGGACAAACTGCAACCGATGTACATGCCCTTAGCGGGAACCGAACCCGGGTCTCTCTGGACCGCAGGCTGATGCTCTAACCGCTGAGCCAAACCGGCCAAGGCTCAGGCTCTGTTTTAATTTTTTTTAAATGATAAGTGTTTATTTTTATTGATATTTTTAGAGCAGAAAGGAGAGGGAGAGAGAAATATAAACATCAATGAGACTGGCCGCCTCCTGCATGCCCCCCCCCCCACTGGGGATCACAACCTGGGCATGTGCCCCAACCGGAAATAGAACCAGCGACCTCTTGGTGCAGGGGTCGATGCTCAACCACTGAGCCACACCGGCTGGACTGTTTTAATCATTTTTATGTATCAACTCAATTTTTCACATAAGCTCTGTGAGAGTTGGTATTATCAGTATCCCCATTTTCCAGATGAGGAAATCAAGGCACAAAAGGCCCAAGTGATTTGTCCAGCATCACAAACTAGTAAGCGGGAGCCAGGATCTGAACCCCAGCTAGCTGACTGCAAAGCCTAAGGCTCTGCTTACAATGCCACAGATGTGTTCTCACACAGGTCTGGAGCCGGACACCCAAATATGCCCTGTCTCCCAGCTTCCGGTTGTTCCAGGCCTCCTGGGCTTGGGGCTGTATCACTCTAGTCTCCGCCTGTCTTCATGTGGCCTTCTCAATCGCCCAGCGAATTAATTTCTCCTCTGTGCACTGTGTCATCTTTTCTGTCCCCCACCCATACACTCACCATTGGTTGGTCCTTATATGTGCCCAGTTGACCTGGGATCAAACCTGCAACCTTGGCCTATCCGGAGAACACTCGAACCAACTGAGCTACTTGGCCAGGGCTCTTCTCTTATCAAAACACTTGTCTCTAGAGTTAGGGCCCATCCAGAAAATCCAGGTGGATCTCATCTCAATATCCTTCATTTAATTACACCTCAAAAACCCTTTTTCCAAAGGTCACACTTCTCCATGGTCCTATTATTATTATTGCTATTAGTATTACTCTTATTACCTTGAAGGGCAGGCTGGGGCTGGAGTGAATTTAGACTCTTCCCCAGTGGGAATGTCTGCAGACTGTAGACAGAAGGCAAGACGGTGAGGAATGGTGCCTACTGATTGCAGAAAGCATCTCACCATCGCCCCGCCTTCCCCAGCTAGTGCTCAGCCCTCCTTTCTCCAGGGGACTTTGCAGCACTGTGAAAGAGTCCCTTTCTCTGGAAGAGCAGCCCTTGGGTTGGGAGAGGCAGCCAGCCAAGTGCCCTGAGCATCCGTCAAGTCCCTCCCGGGTGCGCTGAACCCACCAGACCTCACCGGCCCTGACCCTGAGCCATCTCTGTAGCTGGTTCCTTAGAGGGGGGTCAAGGTGACAACAGAGTGGCCAGGAGACTGCACTGGCTTTTCTGCTTCTTGCTACCAAAATTAGTGCTGTAGCATCCATCTGGACCCATGGCCCTGCCTGGTGTCGCTTCAGGGCAGGGGACCGGCCCAACGATACTGATGCTTTGCCGTGCGCTGTGAGTAGCAAGCTTCTCACTCTGTTCCACTGAGTTCCACTGTCCTCTTTTGGTCAGCCCTTGTCCTCTAGGAGGTTAGAGTTCTCCCTGACACCTGGTGGCCTAAAGGGGAAGTGGGAGGCCAAGTGGAGGGGGTGGGGGAGAAGCAGGCACCCAGGACAACACCCAGGTGTCAAGTGACACTTAAGGGTGGGACCTATTGAGTTGGTGGGTTGTGTTTTTTTTCTCAGGTCCCCAACTCCGTTATTCTCCCCAGTTCCCCAGTAACTGCCAGTACTGCCAAGCCTCCCTGCGGCTGCACCTGGCTCCATCTGACATGTCTTTTTTCTTGTTCTGTCTGTTGTCTGACACCCCCACTGGCATGGGGGCTCAAGTGACAGGAGTCTCTGCCTGTTACACATCTGTTAGACCGCTAAAGCACCTGGCACACAGTAGGTACTCAATAAATGTGGAGACATGGATCAAAAACATGACAACTCTGGGGCCAAATTGGGCAGCCCAGTCCTCCAATGACCCCTCATCATCCATTAAAATAAATCGTTTCATCCGGCCAGTGTGGCTCAGTGGTTGAGCGTCGACCCATGCACCAAGAGGTCGCCGGTTGGATTCCCAGTTAGGACACATGCCCAGGTTGTGGGCCTTATCCCCCGTGGGG